AGATAAAACAGATTCCATACATGCTACGTTCTTCAGATACTGACAAAGAGTCTTCAAGTCTCCAAATGAGATTTTTTTTCTTTGCTTCAGAGTTGTTTGTGCTCTGGTCAAGAAGACCAAGAAGCTGCCTTGTTAGTCAGACAAAGTTTTCAGCTGAAGTTTCTCTTCACCGTTTTTCTCCTTCTCGTTCTCATCTACAGTGTCAGGAGAAGCCGATCGAATCTAGATGTAATCCTGGATAATCCGGGATACGAGGTCCTGAAGACATCTAAGGCAGAGGAGGATACCACACACAAGCAGGAGAACATGGAGTAGGATATGAGGCACTGAAGCTGTCCAAGGCAGAGGGGAAGGAAGGGGAGTATCAGACTATTCAGCCGGGAGGAAATTAAATGGGGGCTTGCAGGAAGGGAAATGCCAAACTAATGTGGAAACAAATGGTGGAGGGGGTGGGGGGGAGTGAACAGCTCAAGAGAAATGGAACTAATGTCTCTGATACATGTACATGGATGATTATTGTTTTTCACATTGTTTTGAGACTTTATAGTTATAACATCTGCCATAGTGCATAAAAGAAAAAAACACTGTTTGCTCACTGTTTGGCCCTAAATGCACTTTATTTACCCATTTAAATGGTAACTAAATGCTATGCAGTTATTACAGGTTGTGCAACAGCCATTCTTCATTACAATCAGAACATCAGCATCATCAATTGAGTGAATATGATCATTGTCTAACAGGTGGTCTGTCACCAGTGGGTTACATGGGAAGTTGCATTTGCATGTTTGTGGTGTGTGAATCCAATTAGTGTGATAAAAGCGTGTGGATAACAGTGTGCAGATGTTAAAGAAAATATGTCGCTATTGAGGAAGGAGCCAAACGTGTGGTCATATGTTTCTTTATTTCATTAAACTTCCACATATACATTTAACTGTACAATTACGAGCATCATATAAAGTATATTTCTGCTTTGATATTGCATTTTAATCATAACTCCATTTTAATGGGGAATTCAATACATTTTGATGAGCTCAGTTATATGCAGAAAACATGTCTAGAATGTGTCTCTTGCCAAATTTGTACTTGTATGAACTTAACATTTTATTGTTTAGTATTGGGTTTATATTTTAAATGCATATTTTGATATAAATTGCTACAGTAGATATTCCAGCTTAATCAGACATATAATATTTTTATTTAAAAATTTATCTATGCTGAACAACCATATAAACACTGCATTCTAAAAGATGTCGTTTTTATCCAGTTTATAGATAAATATGAAGAAGGTTTTTTTTCTACTTGTCATTAAGCAGCTAAATGAATGTTTGTGTGAATTAAATGATATATGATATGTAAAAATACATTTTTTATAAATGAAATGAAGTTGCTTATTAAAAAATATATTAAATTCTCTGGCTCGGTGCATCTCTTTTTCTCTAAGTTTATCTAAACTATAAAAAAAATTGGTAATATGAAATCGAATTAACTAGACTTCACCACAAGATGGGGCTGTCCACAATGTTTTTACGTGGTTGTTCTCTGTCGTGTCTCCTTAAATATTATAATATTATTTTGTATAGAGATCAAACGCATAGCACATAGCAAGATGAGTCTGAACCGGGTCTGGGCCAAATGTTGTTCAGAAATTGCTGCAGATCTGTAAACTAGATGCTTCATTTACACAAGTATATACCGTATACATTGGAATGATTCACTACCATCATCTCACCCTTCATAGCTTGGGGATCACAGTGCAGGGCCACCTAACCTGCAGCATTCTCTGCTGAGGCCGGCGCTTGAACCAGCCCACAGAGCCACTCACCACTCCCACTGGAAGCTGCTCTGAACTTAACTTTGACTCTGGTGCTCATACAGGCCAGATTTGGTAATATTCAATGTAACTCTGGCTCATATGTGGCCCTTATCTGTTTCAAATCCAGAAAGCGGATTCGGACTAGTATTGGTCCATTGTGTAAAAAGACACTGGACCAGATCCAGTTTACGGATCTGTGGCAATTTCTGAACAACATTTGGCCCAGACCTGGTTCAGGCTCATCTCGCTATGTGGGACGATCGTCCTTCAGATTCTTAGCTTATCAGCTGCGCATCTGATAAGTGACTGATCATACATATACAGTCAGGCGAATGCACGCCGGATCTGCAGAGGGCATACAGACCAGTGCGTAATAGTTTAAAACTCTGGACAGATTCTGGTGCAGACTCTCCTGCCCCAATGTCACTGGCATCCAGATTTAAGGAGATGCAGGTGGATCTGGCCCAGAATCAGTTGTTATGTGGGGAACCATTCAAAAGCTATTTGTACTCTGCCGTTTGTATTTTCAGGTGTTAGTTTTTGGACTGGCAAGTTACAGTAGGTGGATTAGAAGTAAAATGTTAGGCAAGTAATATAATATAATCAATAATATTTATTTAGCAACTGAATAATTAGTGAAATGGTTGAGCATATTATACGGAAATCATTTCAGACACAGGCACAAGCAATGATCATTCTAGCAGAAATGTTCCCTTTGGGTGAATAGATACAGAGTTCAATGAAGCGCATATGGACCCAGAAAGGAATAGAGAAAGTACACGCCTTCATACGGTCATTAATTAAGTGATCCTCCTACCCCACTCTCCCCAGCCCCATCCCTCCCTAACAGATGGATTCAGGATTACTCAGTGATTTTAGCTGACGATTAGTGATGGGAGTGTGCTGAGTACGCAGGGAAGGCGCAGAAGAAAGGTTTATGAGAATGTAGCACATACTGTAACTGTCATTTAAGAGATGTGTCTCTGTCTTATTCTCAGATTTCAAGATTTTGCTCCTTATATGTTCCTATAATTAAATCATTTTGATACATTTATAAATATTCTAGGAAAAACTATTTGTTTTAGAACATGAATTGAAAATAATAATTAACTTTTTCTACGTATTCATTTAGGTCTATTTATGATAGCATTTATTGTTATTTAAAGACTACAAATTAGCCCCGCATTTTGGTATCTCCCTGGATGATCCTCGCTCGCAGCGCCCAATTATTTTAAACGGGTGTTACGGTAAATTCAGTTCCCGAATGTTACCCCTATCGCGCGCTGATTTGAAATCATAACGTCACACACTAGTTTGTAGTTTAAACAGTTTCACTGTCGTTTTAACGTCTTTCTTAATTTATTTAATGTCTTTCTTAATGTTTTTAATGTGCTGAGGGAAACAAACCATTTATTCAAAAACGTCGCCCGTCTTTCCGATATTTGTGTAGCCTATCATTTAAAAACAACTGAAACTATTTAAATCGCTGGTAATAGGTGTTTGCTAGTAAAATAAAGAAAACGGTAGTATTGTTTGTAGGACATCCCATATAGTATGCGTGACAATCGATGTAATATTGTTTAGGCACACAGTAAGTCTGGATAGATATATGGACTATCGTCTAATAATACCGACATTTTGGCGGGAGAGGATTCACTGCATGAGAACTGGGAAAATCCATTCCCCCCACCTTACTGGCTATGGAAGTATGAGAGGTATGAGAGGTGAATGAAAGTTATTGAAACACATATCATACACCATCTGTCACATTTTGAACAATAATGGGCTCCATGGGAGAAGACCCAGGAGGGCTCCACTACTGACAGAAAAACATAAAAAAGCCAGAGTGGAATTTGCCAAAATGCAAATTGACAAGCCCCAAAGTTTCTGGGAGAATGTCCTTTGGACTGACAAGACAGAACTGGAGCTTTTTGGTCAGTCACATCAACTCTACGATTACAGAAGGAAAAAATGAAGCTTTAAAAGAAAAGAACATACCTACTATGAAACGTGGAGGGGGCTTGGTTTTGTTTTGCGGCTGCTTTGTTGCATCTGGCACGGGGAACCTTGAATCTGTGCAG